ATTGTAAAAATATCTTATTGCTTTTAGCAATGATTCAAGAAAGTATTAGGTTGTCCCAAAAGTTCTTGCGCCGGATTTTCAAAAAATCATAACTTCTCTGCCACACAATGAATTTTCTTGATTTTAATTTCATCTGAAAGAGGAAACCTTTTCCTTTACAATGGTATCTTTGCTATAAAGCGTCGTTAGAAAGCTCCAAAGCTAGCGGCAATTGAATGAAATCAATCAAGATCGACATTTTTCAAGCTGGATCACGAAAAATGCTGAAAGTATTTTTACTTGGTAGAAAATATTTTGCAAATTACAATGGTACCTTTACCATGATTAGAAACGAAAAAGATCGAGAGTTAGGAGCAAATAAAAGGAATTTTTTCAGTTTTGTAATTTTTGAGCATGCTCAAAAAAGCCCAAGAACGTCACAGAAAGGATGGAAAAGTCAAGAACATGGGTTTTGTGACTTTCTCATTCTAGCAGAGCAAGTTTCGAGCTAATCGAGAGTATTTTTGATTTTCGTGAAAAAGCACTCCTGGAAATCCGAAAAAATCACGAAAAACGAAATTGCTCTCGTTTGACACAGATTTTGCTCAGTCAGAAAGAAAACGTTACAAGACCCATAATCGTGACTTTTCCGCCTTCTCGGTGACGTTTTTAGGCTTTTTTGAGCACGTTCAAAAATTGCAAAACTAAAGGAATTTTCTTTATTTGCTACTAACCCTCGATCTTTTTCGTTTTAAATCATGGGAAAGGTACCGCTGTAATGTGCAAAATATTCTCTATCAAATAAAAATACTTCCAGAATTTTTCGTAACCCAGCTTGAAAAATGTCGATCTTGACTGATTTCATTCAAATGCCGCTAGCTTTGGAACTTTCTCACGACGCTTCACAGCAAAGGAACCCTTGTAAAGGGAATGGTTTCCTCTTTCAGATGAAATTAAAATCAAGAAAATCCATGGAGTGGCAAGGAAGTTATGATTTTTTGAAAATCCGGCGCAAGAACTTTTGGGACAACCTAGTATTTCTCTTCAAAGTTTCCGCCATGAGTACTCTGCGTTGATACCACTGCTT